AAGGAAGAGGGCGGTCAACAAGATCAAACGATGGTTACATCTTTAGTTCGTCTTAGAATAAATATTCAAGGGACAGAACTGTGCAAGGAAACAGACTCTTAAATTTTTCATTGAAAAAAACATATGCATAGAAGTTGTAGGAGGTAAAAGAGAGGTAGAACGGATTCTGAAGAAGTTTCCTGCCTGTGGACCTCCTTCTTACTAGCTTAAGCTAATGATTTTTTTAATTGACTGGTTTTTGGAGGGAGAAAGAAAAGAATGGGAACGGTACGAGGAAGGAAAAGGGAAGGAGGGAAGTGAGGAGTAAGAGCTACAAGTACCCGCAAAATACATCATTGCACATTCTTTACCTTTCCTCAAAGCAAGTTTTTGTATTTATTTTTTGCATTGGTGCACCAACCATTGGAATACATTTTATTTTTTACCATTTTTTAAAGTCTCTTCTTCTTTAATTGGATCTAGAGATTCTTTGGAGCGAAAATGATAAGGTGTATTTACAAGCCACGAGGATTTCAGAATCTCTGGATATGGTTTTCGTTTTTCCGGTACAGGATGCAATATATCGAAAATCAGCAGTTTTACTTCTTCACTTAATGGTACTTTCTCTGGAAACGTTAACCTGGAAATAGGATTCAGTAAGCGAGACAAAAAATTTAGGTGGCAGCCCAAAAATGGTACATGCTCCCGTTTTTTCACGCTCAACAATTTCGTAGTCACATTTTACTGTTCATTTAAAATAGGCCACGGAAACTAAATAGTTACTTTTTACACCGGTAAAGCCTTTTAAATTCCTGTGCCTAATTTGTGGAACAAGAAGCGGTTTTATAGCGATATCAAATGACCGAATTTGTACTCGAAGAAGCAAAACAAATTAAGAATTGTTTGCTAAAAGCTAACTCGTAGAGAAAAAAATCATTTCTTAAGAAATGCCATGATAGCTTAAAATACCAAGGATACCAAATCCGCCTAGCCTGCCAGTGTGAATATTCCGTGTTAGTGATGCTACTGCGATGAGCCCATACCTCGGGGACAGCTACGTCAGGCCCTTCGAATCTAGGCTGCACATTACTCATCAGTACTGACCGCTGCTCAGTTTTTGTGCCACTTTTTGGGGGCTGCTTCAGCGGTTATTTTCTTTCTCGCGAGTGCCAGTCACTTATGCATGATGTTTTTTGGTTACCAGCAAGGTAAACGACATGCTCAGTTTATTGGCTTTATGCATTTTTGCACATATGCAAATGCAAAAACGCGTCTATTGATGGCCCGTGGTGTGTGTACGTTTGTTTGGTTGTCTGTGTATGTATGTGTGTGCGTCTCTCTGGGTATTTCAACTCGGCAACCATGCTGAATCCGGCGCTAAAAGTGATTTCTCCGGAAAAATGACAGCCTAAGGCCGCGACATCAACCTTCATGCATTTCTGAACCCCGCGTACAAGCGTGTAAAAATTTTGCCAGGAGAACTGCTAACTCGGGTACCAGAAAAGCTGGAAGGCTGAAGTTTCAAGGAAGCGTTCTCAGTCCATATACAACTTAAAGGTTTCAAATTCAGCTCCCAGGTATGTGTTTTTCTCATGTGCGGGCTCGTAAATCTTTTGGGGGAAAATTGCTAACTCGAGAGTCAGAAGAGTGAAAGCTGAAGTTTTAACGGAATGCTACCTGTCCAGGCGCCAAGTAGTTGCACAATTAACTTCCTAAAGTTCGAGAATCAGTATGTCACAAATCCTAGCTGCTGAGATTTCAAGCGATCTTACTACAGCACGAAATACAGCAAAAAAGTATGATCGCACAGGCACGCCTGGCGTGCGTCGCTAATGATTTCACTCTTGCGTCAGTTACAATATGCACCAATATTTCCTTACCCTACATAAATGCAGCCTGGCAAAAAATAAAAAAAAATAGAGGGAAATTCACCTGTGCTGTAACTGCTTCAAGAGCATCTTTTTAGGTTTCCTGTCGTCATAAGGCATTAATCCGGTGACCGTTACAAACATCACAACGCCTAGACTCCAAAGATCGACATAAAAACCTATGTGCGGTTGCGACCTGAAGTTGGAGAGAACGTTTCTTTTTGCATTACACCTTAAATTGAAAAGTGTTAACATAGTCACTTGTAACTGTCCTTTTCAGTTGAATATCGGATGTGACGGATACAATTTTTTTTTAAAACGTTCGAATAAAGAGTATGAAAAAGTGGAAGTAAAAATAACTTTAAATACATAATTTTAAATCTCACGTAAATCTTGAAGAAAAACAAAAGTGCAATTGCATATGCCAAAGACTATGTGTGTATAAAAGATACTACGGAGGGA